TCCGACATGGGAACAATGATGCCGTCCATAACGGATCTGAATACGTTAAGCCCCCGCTGTATCAAACCTTCAGAGTAGAGCTGTCTCTCCTCTCGACCACCGCACATCACTGAAAGTGCCGTACGTGCGGCCTTGAGACCTGCTTCGATGTCTGCAAGTTGTTGCAGCCACATGTCAACTTCGACTTGTGCCCACGACTGGTCAATGTTGAACTCCATACTTTCGGCATGCTTCAGAGAGCCATCACAGAGGGTTTGGATGTGGAGCAAGTCCTCAACCGGAACCAGTCGGAAGCAACTGAGTTCGACAGTCCTCGCCATTAGCTTGAGGACTCTGTTATAAGCTGCGATGGTCATTGTTGGTTCCTGGTCGATGGTAAGGGTAATCCAGGGATTTGGGCCATTCCCTCGAAATGCTCTGTCTTTAGCCTCAAAGATCTCTTGGAGACATCTCTGCAACTCTCGGAGGGCTGCATTTGCGCGGTCTCGGTTATTGAGACCATCATCGAGAAGATCTTCGTTCTCCTCATGGCCGGCTCGCTTTCGCTTCTTTAACGAATAGTGAGAGGGTGCATCTGGTGTGTCATCTACCAGATCATAATCTTCCTTGTTGATAGCTGCTACGGGGAGTTCGATACTGATCCCAGGTAGCTTCTGGGACTGAGAGGCAGCCTGTGCTGAAGCTTGGGTTTCAGCCGTAACCTGGAACGTAGCATGAGAAACAGATTGAGACTCTGCTGGAGATTCGACCTTGGGGGATATTCGGGCGGTCGCTGCTGTTTTCGCTTGGGAAGTCGAAGCCCCAGGTTGCTTTGGCTCGCCAAGGACCCCGTCTGGACGTGACTGCGGGGCTAGCATTAGATCTGCTGGTGAAATGGTCTGCGGCTGGACTGGGGCCGTGGGCGCAGGTGGCCACGTCTGATGACCAGGCTTCGACGAGCTATGCAACGACGGGGCGATATCGCGTTCCCTCTGAGAAGGTAAATGAATCTCGATACGGGACTTGTTGTTAGCAACTGCTTGCGCATTGGCAACAGCAGGGTTGTGCTTTACGACCTTGGGCGGTTCATGCTTGCGAGCTTTCGGCGATCGCTTGATCAACCGAGGAGACATGATCTGGCCGTTAATGCTGGGTGTCTGAGCCTTGGGCGTATCTACTGGCGTGGGATATCGGAATGCGATATTGGTGTTTTCGTATATCATCCTAGCAAAAGGTGATAGTCCATCAATGAGGCTCTTGTGTGATCTGTCGTTCGGAGAATTGGCTTTGGGAGCTGTTTTGAACTCGCTATAAAGTTGACAGTAATTAATAGTGATCCCATAATGTATCCGCAAGTGACAATACGCGATGTGGTTTGAGCAGACCGCAAGATAAGAAACAATCGACCAACTCACAATAATGTGATTTTCTCGGGCTTCAAGAGATTCTGCACATATTCCAGGCTTCCTTCGAGCCGCTTCGACTGATGCGGGTTTTCTGCTTCCTTGTTTAAGGCGTCATAGTCTTCATGGGAGACGAGGTTAGCAACGGAAGCTGCTATCTGACCAGACCCGATCGTAGGGTTGTTGATGATGCCTGTGAGTTCAAATATTTAGCTGCCTCGTTACGAAGTATGGGAGGAGGAAGAAGATTTCGGCAGTTGGTGAGTTTTCCACGAGCGATAGTGACGGATCGGAACCGAGGAAGGCGCGTGGATGCCAATCACACTTACCTGATTCAAAAGGAAACACCGACGTGAAGGGCGTATACGGCAGCGCTTCATCCAAGGTAAACGGCCTTGGATGATTCTGACCTTGGACCTGTTGTTGCAGCGCACTAGGATCAACATATTGCGCCTGATCGTAGTGCGGCGCCATGCCGTTGTGATAGCTGGGTCCCGGGTTTGCCATCCTTCCACACAGTCTGGCCCCTCTCTCAAGTTCCCTCCTGATGAAAGAATAGAGCTATATTGCTTCTGCGACCACTGAGCGCATTTCCAGTACCCCACTCCTCCGTCTGGTCATGAGAATCCGCGTGGCTGTTGGCCATGCGCGTCGGTGGAACGGGGATGAGATCGCGTTCAGGGGGGCTATCGTAGTTGTACCGAGATTTGGAGGGCTTGCGGTGGTTGTAGACACATCTATGCCTACTGGGAATGCACTGGCCGCCAGCAAAGTTCGGAGCCGTCGGTGTGGGATCTCGAACCGTGATTTCAAGATCCGACTGGAAGTTGCGACAGCCTTGCGCTAGAAGGATGACATTTGAGGGCAGCTCGGATTGGCAGTTGCACTTGCACTTGCACTTGCCCCTGACCCCTGCCTAGCCTGTCAGCCGGCTGCTACAGTACGCAGTACATGGGTGACAGGGGGCACGCACATGATCTGTGCTCTTCATGGTTTCCCCGAATTATCGGTGGTTTTCTATTTGAGACCGACTGAGCAGCTAATCAATTACTGCTTGCATTTTTTGAGAGCGCATTTGAAACTTTTTTCCACAAGCCGGTCGCATCGACTTGTAGCGCGATTCACTGACAACAATACCCCGAACAACTCCGCCGCGACTCTCTCACACATGAAACTGGACTCCGAAGAACAGAATGACTTCCATCGGGTCTCTGGTATTCTGTACCGACTGCGGTAACCTTCTGCCTGCATCGAAGGGCAATGAGAAGAACATCCTGAAATGCGAGTGTTGCGGCGCAGAGAATCCAGGTCAGTCGAGGCTCTTCCCCGAAGCACAAGACCATATGAACAGAGTAACTCATTCTACAATGTTTCAGACTCCAAATTCAAGACCATTGTTACGAAAAGCAAGCCTTCCGACTTTCCGTCTCTACTCCGCCAGAAGCTTTCGACAGTTCAGACCGTAGTACGACACGAGATCGAAACAGAAGCCTGGATACAAGAGACATGCGAAAAGTGCGGCGAGAAAGAAGTCAGATTCACGTCTGTACAATTGCGTAGTGCCGACGAAGGCAGTACTAACTTTTACACTTGTGGGAAATGTGGTAATAAGTATGTTTTCAGTTCGGATCGGGCGAAGGATGCGATTGCTAACTTATTACCCAAGGTGGAGTGCAAACAACTGAAGCGTTGGTGCTTTGGTGATTTGGTCCTTACAAAAAAAACCATGTCTATTGCATCAGTATTATACAGGTGGCGCCTTGTCTATGCCGTGACCTCTGCCCTGGGGGCCTCCGGAATCAGCGCATACTCGGCTTGACCACCCTGCTCATAATCGACCATATCCAAGGCCACTATGATACTCTCGCGCACAACCTTCTCTTTGTCGTGAAGGAAGCGCTTGAGAATATCCTCAACACCTTCTTCCTCGCCGAGGCTCCCTAGTGCCTCAGCCGCTTCGTGCCGGACCATACTAGCTTCTTCAGTATCACTCAACGCAGCTGTGAGGGCAGGGATCGAGGCTGGATGAGAAAGTTGACCAAACACAAATGCGATTTCGTGGCGGAAGAGAGCAGATGTGTCCGCGAAGCCCTTGGCAAGAGCGTGTACTGCTGGTACGGCTGTCGGGAGGTCTGGAGGGGAGGCGAGGTCGCGAAGGGCGAACATAGCTCGGTATCGAAGGAAGAGCGGTGCTGTGGTGTCCATGAGCGCCTTTTCGAGGTCCTCGACTGTCTGTGTCGACTCGGGCATCGGAGGCGCTGGATCTATGGATGCAAAGTCGCTGTGCAGAGTTAGCCATGATTCATGAAACCAGCTTCATTGGAACCAAGTAGGAGGCCGTCCCAAAGGCAAATTGCTATATCAATGTGCCAGCGTGATGCAACATACCTGTGACGTATTCTTTCTCTCTGCCTCGCCTCCGAAATTTCCCATTCTATGCGATCGATAGCAATTTCGCACGTCTCCGTGATCACGACCTCCTCTCCCTTGCGATCCCTGAACTCCTTCAGTAATTCCAGACTCTCGGCATCGCCTAGCGCGCCCAACGCCTCGGCCGCCTCATGTCTACACATCGCATCCTCCTGCACATTAGCCAGCACCTCCCTCAACGGCTTACTCGCGGCCAAGTTTCCCGACTGCCCCAGACAGTAGGCCAACTCATGCTTCAGCAGTGCGGAGGGCGACGTAAACGCCGCCGCGATCGCGTCGATGGCCGCAAGACTGTTGTCGCCGGATTCGTATTTCGCGAGGTGTTTGAGGGAGAATAGCGCGCGGAAGCGGAGGGGAAGGGGCGTTGCCTCGGACGTCAGAGAGGCGCGCAAGGCTTGGATCGTGCTTGCAACGGTGGAGGAAGGGGCGTCGGGGTTCGGGATGGGGTCGTCCATGACGGTTATCGAGGTCGTTTTGGTTATGGGGAGGGTTGCCATTGTGGGAGACTCTCCACGATGTGGCACTCGTCTGCAAGCGCAAGGTAGTAAGCAGTGAGAGATGGGATCCGGTAACTCTATATATCTGTAGGCCGTGGTTAAGGTCGAAAACAAAAGAAATTGCTTGAGCATAAGTCTAAGATGGTCCAGGTAACGGCTGAAACTGGAAGAACCCCGCCAGTCCTAGGTCGCAACTTTTTCCCCCATGGTGGGGTTTATCTTATCAATCGGAGAAATCCAGTACAGTGGGTATGTCACCAGGATCATAGAACTTGGGTCGCAAACCTCCAGGCGGTTGGTTGTATACATATCCGGAGCTTCATTATCGAGACGGCAAACACCCTAGCTTCCTCTTCACGAATTCCTTGCCTGCTTGTCCTTTCCACAGAATCATGAGATAAACTAGTCCCTCTAGAGACCTTTGTGCAGCTCACTTGCGTCTTGTTTCTTTGTCACTTTGTTCCTATAATAATAATAGTTTATACGCCGTGACTTTTTAAGGTGTTAGATTAATTAAAAATTTTGATAAATTGAATATTAGTTTTTTTATAATTTTATAACTAAAACCTAAGGTTTTTATAAATATTTATGATTAAAACAATATTAGATAATTAAAACAGAATTAATTTAAACACTTCGTGTTAACAGAAAAGATAATCTAATTTCTAATATGGTCAGATTCCGTACATCCGGTTGTGTAGTCTAGTTGGTGAGGACGTCGGATTCTGATTATCTAGAATCTTACGTTCCGAAAACCTGGGTTCGAATCCCAGCATAACCTCGCATTAAATTTTTGCTTGCTTGCTTTCTTCCGCCCTTCTTGTCTTTCTTTCCCCCCCCCCCCCCGGGGGAACATGCGGAAGCGGCGTCCTTAATCGCAGGGACACCGTCGAAGGCAGGGTTGACGTCCAAGTCCAATTTTCACTTGAGATGTGTGTATGTTGTTGGCGAGCGACCGACCATCCGCTTTTGCTATTGCTTGGACATGAGGTCTGCTGGCTCTCCTGCGTGCCTTGACCACTCTTTCTAAGAAATGGTATACAGGCTGCTTTGCAGACTTGCATTGCTTGATCTTTGGAACCCACTCAAGAGCACGTCTTGCGGCATTTGTTCATACAGACCGCTTATGAATCTCCAGACTGTTTTTGATCTTCAGATTACCAAGGTGCGAAACCCGCGTGCTCGTCGTCTCCTTCTTCAGGCATAGGAGCAGAACACGCTTGGCGAGCATGCTAGTGTTAGGATCCAAAACGGTCCCAAAACTCGCGGAACGAGCCGCGGCTCGTCGAATACAGTTCCCTCGTCCTCAACATCGATCGCACTGGCTGCTGCACAGACTGCGCGAGTCTCATCATGTTCAGCGCCGCAAGTGTCGTTGCTCGCCTTGCTGTCTGTCGTCTCTGCTTCTAACCGGTCCAGGAAGATACTGAAGTAGCATGGTCGTTTTGGCTGTGAATACAAAGCACCCAAGCCACCAATCGTTGACTGCTTCGAAGCTGTCTTTGCCCAGTTCAGAAGATATTGGATTGTGTCTCTTCTACTACTATTGATGGGCAGACAGGATTTCCGGACACAGTCAATGATCGACATCATTCCTATGCCCATACTGCATTGTACTCTGGGCACTGATCATTCAATCCCCAGCTAGCTTACTGCTGGTCTACTCGTCCGTAGAAATAGTTGTCGATCGGCAAACTCGTTGTTTGATGATAAGTCGGAAGCGTTTCCTACTTCAGGGAACTGGAACCGCACTGTTCAGTTGCCTGCTGAAGAAGAAGGTGAGGAAGTTGATATTCACTGGTCAAAATGTAGACGATATAGCTGAGGACAACATTGAAGACCTTACCGGTCTGATTATGTTCTTGAATCTCTACATCTGAGAGTTGAAGTATACTTCTTTGATTGATGAGGTAAACAATCTTGTGCTGAGAAGACTCGCTCTTCTGCTAAGATACCACCTCTCTACTTCATATCCGAAGCCACGACTTGAGTCTTCCTACGCCGGTCTCAAAATCCCCTCAGGCACCACCTTCTCGCTTAACGTCTCCATCCTCAGCCTCTCCGCTGTTCGCACGATCGGCCTCCTCGTTGCTGGCGTCCTGAATACGTCTACTTGAGTTATCCGCGCTGTCTCCAACTAACTCACGTCCTTCGGCGTCGAAACGATGAGTCTGCGTGACAGGTCTTTCACCCAGGTTATGTGACGTAGTATGAACAGTGGTGCCTTCAGGTGTGGTGTGAGAAGTCTCCTTAAACGACTTGCCAGACGTTTGACCGTTGCGGTGAGTGCTGGAGTAGGAGGAGGACGAGCTCGTAAACGAGTAGCTTGACGACATCTTGATTGTAGGTGAGTTTTTCGTGTATCGTTGATTCTAGAGCTTACGGGACGATTTAGCAGGATCAATGCGAGGAGAGATGAGGTAGAGAAGAATGATATATTGAGACCTCGTAATATGTGGTAAGTGCCATGTACGACCTTTACGTCACAACACCCCACCATACTGTGCCAGCCAAAATATGCACGCCTCACATAAAAGGCAGCAACTTCACTTACACAGTGTTTTCGACACACTCTGAAGCTCTTCGCAAGCTGAGATCAAGTCACAGAGAGGCCTGCTAAACTTTCACTCCAGCCTCAGTAGGTAGTTATGATTCACGCCATTGGAACCTGAGTTGTGTGCAGTTGGGCTGCACCTCAGTTTCTAGAGACTAGATTGTGTAGTAGGAAGCCAGGAGTTCAATAAGAGAAACTGGTGAACCGAAAACAGGGAGAATATGCCTCAATGCCTCCCTCGGCTTTCTCCCTTTCGCCCCAAATTCGAAGTACCTCGCTCAATAACCCTTGCGCTTGACTTAAAGTAGATTCGCGATGAGCGACAGCGTACCTGCCCTCGCACATATTAAAGTAAACGAGCTTACGGCGACCCGACTATAACATGTTGCAAGCGCAACTTGGGTAGCTATCACATCGGTATCACCAGTACAGTCAACAGAAGATTCCAGCTTCTACCATCAGTAAGTCAAGTAGGATAAACAGCGAGTCCAGGTTTATACGAAGACATGACTGTTACGCGGGGCGTCTTCGTCTTCGTCATGTGTCGCTTAGCAGCTTTCTCACTTTCTGTTGATGGAATGCAGGAATTGTTCGACGGAGACAAATCATACAAAGCCGACCTCAGCAGCTAATTACATATTCACTACATTGCGTCGGATCTAGTATGTAGCCATGGCTTAACTATCGTCTGTGGCACCACAAATAGAGGAACCACGACCTCCACCCTGGTACCTGTCAACTACAAAACTGCCTCCAGCTCCCAAGCAAAGTCTTGAGGACTGTTTTATTTCAGGCAATCTTTCCTGGTCATCTTTCCTCGACCTCTGGTTTGCCATGAGTTCGTCACTTTCTTACGTACAACGGCCACACGAGTGCACTTAAATATATAGATCCCTTGAAGTCCTCTTCAAGGAGACTGCAATTGAGTTTCTCAATGTTGTACACTTGGGTGGCAATGATGCTGAGTACGGCTTGGGGTGATGATGGACAGTGTTATTCTTAGTGGTGTGATGTCTTGAACCGGTGGTCCAAGGAAGTCTACCGCTTCACCCATGGCCACCTGCTATGTACACATTCTCAACTAACCTCCAATCTGAGAGCATCGTATTGTACGTATATCGACTGGGTTAAAACAGCGCTTTCCTGTTGTCGAAAATATCAGCAAGTCTTCTTTTCGGTGCTGTAAAGCAGTGACAGACATCACATCCTGTGTATTTTGTGCCGGAAAAGCTGGGGCTTGAAACATGGAAAGAGAAGAAGTGATTAGCAGATCTCACATACATAATCTGTTGCATTATACGGTAAGCTAAGAATGAGAGTGTTGTTCCCTGGCTGTAATAGGCTCGACTCAAAGTGGAACTTATGGGCGATGTTATAGCAGTTGACAGCGGATCGCACCGCACATGAACTGCTCTGGTAGTACCTACGCCCTATTAGCTGGAAGACCCCACAGTACTCATCCGAATATACTGACGGAATGACCCAAGGCTCAAGATCCTCTCCGTTGACATTAACCGTGTACTTGAGGTTCGAGTACGGCTCGGAAGCATTATACACATCTGTGTTACCCGCAGCAGTCTTGGCTCCAGCAAGCTGAACGGTGAACGTGGCCTGAGTTGCGTTGGATACCGTCGAGTAATTAAAGCTGATAGTCCAGTTGTTCACATTTCCGTCTCCATAGTAAGGCTCAGTGCGGATCGAGTTGCCATAGCCCCCAAACACGCTCCAGTGGACGTAATTGAGGTCCGTGGCAACGTCATCCTCCCCGACTCTGAAGTTGACGCCTGATGGGAACTCGTCCACGAAGTCGTGGACAGGCCAGTAGATGCGATATTCCTCGGGGTGGAGGGGGTGCTTAGGATCTTTGGCGTAGCCATGTCGGTATTCGCCGCTGCTCTTGTCAGGGATTCCGATGCGGAAGACCTCGGTGCCAGAACTCTCTTCTTGCCACGTGATTGTTGCTGTCTGAACATTTCCGGCTAAGACTTCGACGTCGTCCTGGGTATACTGTCCGAAGACTCCGTCGGCGTATATAGTAAGACGGTACGTGTCCTCCTTTACTCGGGGCATCGTTGCGGAGCCAGTCTTGTCAATCTCCGCCCAGTATTGATACGCTTTGGTATCGAACACATTGTCCTGGAAGTCTTTATCGTTCTGGGCTAGTACGGCTATCGCGTTCGATGCAGTGGCCGGCAGATCGACCTGAACCTTGAGGGTACCTCGGTTGGCAGTGGTGACGTAGTTGGGAATATACTCAGCTATGGAGTCGTAGAAGTCCGCATTCCAACCAGGATCAGCATACTGTGCCGCGTCGGTCATCGATTCCAGAATGTCTGTACCAGCGGGTAAGTGGTTGAAGTAGTAGTAATGAGGGCCAAAAGTCCGATCAAAACCATTGGTGATATTCGGCGTTTGGTCTCCGTGGTGGTTCGACACAATGTAGTTGTAGACTATCCCGTCCACCATCAAATCTGAGTGCAATGGCCCACCGAAGTAGGTATCCTTGGTATTCATCACAAACCAGGCACCGTAGGTTGTGTTGTCCGAAGTTTGTGTACCATCAGCGAATTGGCCGTGCACATCATTATCTCTCCATGTGTCCGAGAAGGTATATTTGGTAAAATAGTCGGCTTCCTGTTGGACGAAGGCGTCATCAGTGGTGTTCCCGAGATACCAGGTAGCATCCTGAACAACCACCTCAGTAGCGATAGCCTCGTTCCCAGGCAACGGTGCATATTGGTCTTTGTTTGTAAGCAGATGCGTCCAAATCGCTGAGTTCGGTCTGAACAGTGTTCGGAACTCCTGCAGATTCCTCAAAAGCGGCGTAGTTTCGTTATAGTACGCCAACCTCTCAAACATATGTAGTCCTGTCTCGCCATCCCGCAAAAACCAGTACGTCTCTAGCACCTGGCCTGTCGGCGTGTACGTGTCGGACATCTTGATACCGCCATAGTCCGTCCCGTTCGAGTCTATCCCAGAGAACAGCTCGAAGGTCGGTTGCGTTGTCCCAGGCGTCCAGAACCCGGAGGGGATGCAGTAGCAGTCGAGGTAGGGGCCGATTCCTGTCGAGCCGGATTTGGTCCCGAGTAGGTTCTGCCCGTCTAGGGTGAGAGACTCGACGGCGCCAGAGGACTTGGAGACGCTGGCATAGAGCCGGTCGTTGGATATAACTAAGGCGACATCGTCCTCCGTGGCGTTCAGCGCGCCCAGGACTATTGCCGGCGTTC